CTTACCTCCCAACGTTTATTAACAAAGCAAAGCAAGCTATCTAGAAACTGAGTCGTGGCAACTGGACTTCTTTCTTATTAAATTGAAACGTTCTCCTACTCATTCAAGTAACTTCTTCAGTTTGAAGAGAATTGCTGTTCAGACCAGGGGGAAGTGAAACCAACATGGAGGATATATCAGGGGTCTCATACCAACTCTCCTCAGACTGAAGAAGCTACTTGGATAAGCAGCAAAACATTTCAACCTAACGAGAAAGAAGTCCAGATGCCATGACTCAACTTCCAGTTAACCTCACCTGAATGACTGAGAACCTTCAAAGATACAAAGCAAGCTAATTTGAAAATTGTGGAGATGCAGAAGACTCAAGATAAGAGTACCAGATGTTTTCAGCACTTAAGGAAATCTTTCTTTTAATAATAAATTGTTTGTAACTTTGGCTCAACTCACATCTAAGCAAACAACACACATGTGATTTGGAGTTATTAATCTTTACTCTGGACAGATTCTTTCACAGATTACTTCTTCCATTTTATGATGAGCTGTTTCCATCACCACCCTAAGGACCAACAGAAATAGAGAGGTTACTTACCTGTAACCATGGTACTCCAAGTGGGACTCTGTGAATCCACATGAATGCATAAATTGTGCCCGCGCAGGACTCTTTGGAATATTCTAGAGCTAAACTAAATGTCCAATAAAACGTTTCCCCATGGTGCGCATGCTCTGTCCACCTGTGGTACCTCAGTTCTGAATGTCTGCCACTGTCAAGGCTCTGATAATTAAAAGCGATAGGTAAGCCATGATGGACAGCAGGGAGGCTGGGTGGGACATGTGGATTCACAGAGTACCACTTGAAGAACCATGGTTACCGGTAAGTAACCTCTCTTTCTTCTTCATGATCTCTGTGAATGCACATGAATGGGTGACTAGCAAACTTACTTACCAGAAGGCGGGCTGTCATGGTAAAACTGAAGTTAGCACAGCTCATCCAAAACCTGCTTCCTTTTTGGCTCTGACATCCAGCCCATAATGTGTTGCAAAGGTCAATGGTGTAGACCAAGTAGCTGATTGACAGATGTCAGAGAGTTCAACACCATGCAGCCAGGCAGTAGAGGTAGCCATGGCTCTAGTAGAATATGCCCTCAACACATCTGGTGGAGTCTTGCCAAGCAGCTCATAGGCTAAATTGATGGCAGAAACTATCCATCTGGAAACCGAGTGAGAAGAAGCCGGGTGACCCTTGTGAGGACCATGGAAGCAAACAAACAGTCTAGGAGATTTGTGGAAGTCCTTAGTCCTGGATATACAAAAGGCCAAAGCCCAACAAGCATCAAGGGAATGGAGCATGTGCAAAACATCTGAAGAATGGTTAGGAAACAATGTTGGAAGAATCAAAGTCTGATTAACACGAACATTTGAAACCACTTTAGGGAGGAATGAGACATTGCGATACAAGATGACCTTATTGGGGTGAAATTGTATATGAGGTGCATCAGCCTGTAGTGCAGCCATCTCACTCGCCCTCTATGCAGACGTAATGGCCACCAAAAACAAAGTCCTTAGAGACAGAAGCTTTAAAGGAGTAGATGCCATAGGATCGAATGGAAGATGCGAAAGACCCTCAAGACAATCTGAAGGGACCATTGAGGGATTGGAGGCCGTACAGGTGGACGAATGTTATGCAAACCTTGAAGGAATCTCCTCACAGTCGGGTGTGAGAATAAGTGGGAAGCGTCTGAACCCACAGGCTGATACGAAACAATGGCAGAAATATAAACTTTGATTGTAGAATCCTCCAGTCCCAGATTGAACAAATAATGTAGGAAAGTAAGAAGGGTTCCCAAGGAAACTGGAACAGTGACAAACCCTCTGGGCAAAGCAAACTTAGTTAAAACAGACCCCTTATAAGAATACAGAACTTTAGTTGAAGGCTTCCTCGCCCTTTCGAGCACCTCTTTTATGTTGGGAGAATCCTCCACACTGTGAAATGGAGCGACTCTATGTCGGGATTACAGACATTGCCTCCATCCTGAGTCAAGAGGAATGGTTGAGGAGATAGTTTCAGGAAATCGGACACGATGGCCTTAAGGGTGGTAAACCATGGTTGCCGAGGCCACTATGGCGCCATTAAGATGGCATCAGCTTGCAACTGGTGAATTCTGGCAATTGTCCATTGAATGACTGGGATGGGAGGAAGAAGATAGAGAAGGACAGCATCCCACTTTACCATGAAGGCATCTCCCAAGGAACCCTTGCCTCTCCCTGTTCATTGAACTGAGTGGTGAAGATGTCGATGATCGGGTGTAGTCCACCTGTTGCAGATATGGGTGAACACAGAGTCGTCAAGGATCCATTCATGTATCTGAGTGGTCAGATGGCTCAAGCAATCGGCCACATCATTGTCCTCTGTCGCCACATGGATAGCGATTTGAAATATGTGATGATCGTAGCACCACTCCCACAGGTGGATCGCTAAGTACAGGAGGGACAAAGAGTGAGTGCCTCCCTGCTTGTTTATATAATACAGAGTGGTCATGTTGTCTGTAGCCACTTGTACTCCACGGCTGACCACTAGAGGACAGAAAGCGCGAAGAGCCTTGATTATTGCTATCATTTCTAGAAGACTGATATGAAGCAGCTTCTCTGAGCTGAACCACATGACGTGGATCTTGTGAATGCCACAATGCGCAGCCCAGCCTGTCATGCTGGCATCTGTTGTGACCTGTACAGTCAGTTGAAGGGCTTGAAAGGCCGACCAATTAGAAGATGCGGCACAAAAGTCCACCACTTTAGTTGATGAGATAACTCTGGAGTGACCCGTAGACGTTTGGCAGGGTTGTCTACTAACGGATTGAACTGAGAGAGGTACCACGCCTGCAGGGAGTGCATCTTCAATCGAGCATGAGGAAGAACAGATGTGGTGGAAGCCATGAGACCTAAAAGATGTCGTGTGTGGTGCGGAATGGACGAATAGCACTACTCAATTTGTAAATCCTCTCTGCAGGGAGGAAGACCCTGGCTCTGCTGGAGTCCAAAACCGTGCCAATGTAGTTCATGGTAGATATCTTCTTTATAGGACCTCATTGGCAAGACTGATGTTTCCTCATCAGTCTACTGTTTCCCTGCCACAATAAAAACTGTGGTGATATGAAAGTTACAGAGATACCCAATGATCAAGAGATTCTGATTTATATATGAATGTGTAATTTAAGAATGAGAAACTGACTGCATCCAACTAAAATTGGCTGAACTGACAACATCTAAAGAGACAGACTAAGGATGTTCATTTGGCTAGCTGTTACATAAATGTAGCTACTGCTGTTTTGGAAAGCATTTTCTCTTGAGCAACATTTGTGATAAAGAGCTACAGGGGAGTGGCATGCCATGTGATTTCTACTCTTTTTCGGAGATCTTCTATTTTAGCTTCACTGGACATTCCTCTGATCTCCTTGCTGAAATATTCTTACCCAGTTATGCTATTATAGCATGAACAATATAATTTTTGGAAGTTAATTGTGTCAAGTTAAGAAATTACCATAGACACTATCAGTTAAACATCAAGTTGCATGACTCAGCATGCAACTGCTAATGCCTACAGTGATTTCTAAACTTGAGACAATTTGCCACCAATTGTTATGTCCATTGCATTAACTACACAAGAGGATTTTGACCACGGTTTTGGAAACAGAAAAACAAAAATTTGAACAACACACAAAAAAATATAAAAAACTGAAATGATATTATTGGAAAAAAGACTGAAAATGTATACAAATATTGTGTTTTTTAAGAGAAAGTCTATGAATAGGAACACAGTTATCTAATAACATGATTTCTAATCACATGATTTCATATATTTAAAAAAGGACCCACTCTAATGGTTGGAGGGCCTTTATTTATTTTTAAAACTTAATTTGTGAATCAATCAATAAAGAAGAAATTGTATAGTAGAATATCTAGTTAGCTGAAGTCTATTTGTGAAAATCTATGAACATTAACCTACAAAAAGGAAATGATATGAAACAATGCAGATTACATTATATACATTGGCATTAAAATGTTAGCAATGGTGTGGCTAGAATCAGATATATCTATGGTGAGAAGTTAAGAAAGTGAAAGCCTTCAATACTGTTCTCATTGATTTCAAAAAAGCTGTAGGCTGCTCAGTTCTTGAAGGTCCATTGACAAACCCCAGATTAAATAATTCTCAGGATTCTCAAATTCCTTCACAACAGTATTTCTTTTTCAGTACCATCTACCACTCTTATTGTATCAAAGTGAATAATCAGGCTTAGCTCCCAGCAGAAAGTCATTGGTATTTGAAGCTGTGAAATGTGTTTTTATTCTGAAATTTGACTAATCAATTATTAATAATATTTGTCTACATTAATGTAATTGATCTTGGGTTTACATTTCTGCACTGCTATGAATTTATACAGTACAGTAAACTCTCCTTGGATTACCAGCAAAAATGTAGCTACAATATAACTTAGTCAGAGAACCATTTGCTAATTGTAGATCTACAACTTCATTTAATATATTTTAGTAAATTAATCAAATGGGATTTAGCTTCTTGATCAATGCATCTATTGATCAGACATCATATAAGGAAGCAGAATATTTCTGAAGCAAGAAGCATAGTTCTTAGGTCACTGTAGCTGAAGCAACATTATAGCACTCATTCTGAGTATAGGAGAAACAAGAATACTTCTTTTAAGGTGGTGCTTCTCATCTGCACCTTTTATAAACATGCATATCTTGTACTGTATGATTAACAGGGGCCATGTTTTCCATTTACCGTTTCAAAATATCCAATTAATTGATTAAGTATTGCAGCCTTCTTTTTTAATCTGTTTTATTTCATCCTGCTCATTATACAACTATTTTTAGAAATAATGGGGGGAAAAGAGAGCGAAGGGAAAGTCCTAAGTATCCTGATAAGTTCTGAATTCTTTTCCATTGAGAAAAATATATGGAGATAAAAATGAGAGTTTTGCAAAATAAAATGTCCATATTTTAGTAATAGCTCCCAGTGGCACCCCTTCCAGCATTTGCCTTCTTTTGGAAAATTCACAATGACATCAACATGGGTGGGGAAAAATTATACAAGTACTCAGAAGGCAAACACACAGCAATCTTGTCTACTTAGATTCATAAGTGCCCCGGGTGGGGATTACATGTTTGCTGTATTTAATTTCCTAAATCTGTCTGCACTAACAGCAGTGTTTTAAAAGCTGTTGAAGAATCAGCAACCACTAGGGAGATCTCCAATATTCAGTTCAGGGCATTTGCAGCTAAGCAGTCACAAAGAGTTCTCTTCTCCACTTTAAAAAGCAATGTTTCTGTCTGCAGAGAGAGAGAGAGAGAGAGAGAGAGAGAGATGAAGAAAGTTAAGATAGTATCAATACTTATCTTACAATCTCCTGCATTTTTGCACAAATAAGGACAGTTGAGATAGCTTAGACTTCAGAGCAGTAATTAAACATATCTTAAATATAGCACTAGTATTACAAAAATTATCTATATTAAATGGGGCTACTGTGTGCATAATATAGAGGCACTGCACTTGGACAGCACTGCCAACTTCAAAAGTGGTCGTCGGTTTCCTGTTGAAATAGATGAGGAGTTGAATCTGTCTCCTTACTCCTCAAAACAAGCAAACTATGCTGTGAAAACTCATATTTGTTAAGCATCTGCTTGCTTTTTTCTTAGTTCTAGTAACGGCACAACAGGGTTTAATGGATCTTGTTAGTAATCTACTGACTCCAATCTCATGCTTGAGGCAGAATATCCAGAATTAGAGCATCACTAGTAGATGTTCAGTCTCTACTTGAAGACTTCTAGCAAGAGACAACCTACTTCTTTTCCAGGCAATGGTTCCACTATTTAAGTGTTTTTCATTTATCCTATTATTTGAGCAAAATCTACCTCGTATAACTTGGTTCACTGCATGTAGCCGTGCTTCCTTGGGCAGGAGAAAACCAGCTTTTTCTGTGAGAACTGTTCAGGGATCCGAAGAACATTATTAGGTCTCTCTTGAGGCTTTTCTTTGAATATTCAGTTCCTCCAATCTTATCTCATAGGACTGGAGTTCCATGCAGGTGTCCACTGTCCTCCAATGAACCTGAGTCTCACTGGGAGGGGATTTTTACAGCCTAAAGTAACTGTTACTATTACTACTAATCCTACAACTGAAGAGCTGGAAGGGACCCTATGGACCATCAAGTCTAGCCTCTGTCAAGGAGGCACAGTGAGTGGGGAATCAAACTCCAAACCTCTGGTTTTGTGTGTAATCCAGGAAGGTTTGATGAGACTGGGCTGATCACTTTCCTGTGTTTTCCTGCCTTATACTCTGCTAACTAAAGGAACAACCCAATTCCTAGAAAATTTTCTAATAACATTTCCTAAATGGGTTATAAATCCAGACCAAATCTTTTGGCTCAGAGAGATTACTAACTGGTATTTTCCAAGCTATATTGCTTTCTAAGTATTGCATTTTATTTTTTTCTCCCAACCACCTCGAGCTAAAATCACACACTACCTGAGTCTCACTGGGAGGGGATTTTTACAGCCTAAAGTAACTGTTACTATTAACACTAATCCTACAGCTGAAGAGCTGGAAGGGACCCTATGGACCATCAAGTCTAGCCTCTGTCAAGGAGGCACAGTGAGTGGGGAATCAAACTCCAAACCTCTGGTTTTGTGTGTAATCCAGGAAGGTTTGATGAGACTGGGCTGATCACTTTCCTGTGTTTTCCTGCCTTATACTCTGCTAACTAAAGGAACAACCCAATTCCTAGAAAATTTTCTAATAACATTTCCTAAATGGGTTATAAATCCAGACCAAATCTTTTGGCTCAGAGAGATTACTAACTGGTATTTTCCAAGCTATATTGCTTTCTAAGTATTGCATTTTATTTTTTTCTCCCAACCACGTCGAGCTAAAATCACACACTAGCTGAAGAGACAGAACTTTTGTCTTTCGTTTTGTTTTTGCTCCTTTGCCTAAGATCAGTATCCAAACTTAGTCTGAAATCCAAGGATGGCTTTGGACCAAAATAGAGGTTTTTCTGGAAAATTTCCAAGGCTTACTTCTGTTAATTTTTCCCAGTGGATGACTAGACTATAACTTAACTTAAATGCTTTGCAGGTCCATGGCTGTACTGAAATTTTATGAACCCCAGGGAGAAACATAAGAAGCAAGAACTAGCATAATCTGGAAGGAAAAGTAATCCATAGCAAAGGCAGTGATCTATGAAAGCCTATCAGCTTGTTTATATAAAATTACGGTATGTGAAACTGCTAAAGATACACTTAATGTCCTAGAGAAATTCTATGGATTTACCAGGCTTAAATCATGAGATATCTGGATCAGGGAACTGGTGTGATTAAGATGTAATTCTAAGAAGGACTATACTATGAAAGCCATATAACTGTTTTGGTTATGGTATTTGATAGTTTGATTTTGATTGGATTTAAGCAAAAAAAAGTGGGTTTCCTGAGGAAGAAAATTTTGATGCTTTTTAAAATCTCTTCTGGATGAGAAGCAAGAACTGAGATTAGAACAGGTTGTGAATGCCATCATGCAATAATTCACTAAATAAAGGAGCTTTCCTCAGAGTCTCGGACCAAAATGATCTAAATTACCTGGTGAATGAGAAGGACACTAGGAAAGCCACTCCCTGAAGCCAATCATATTCTTTTTAGAACTGTGGTAGGAAGGGCCATGTAGCCAAATAATTCTCCCAGAGATTTTTTTCAACCAAAGGTAGCAAAACCAATTCTGTGACAAAACAACAGAAGCATGTTAATGATCCTGTGTGTGAGAGAAAGGAAAAAGCCAGCAAGGATTTTAAACACAGATACTGCATGGCTTATGGTTCTGAGCGGAAATCAAATGATTGGAATATGAGGGAATTCTTTCTAACCTTAAATGGGACTGCTGGTAGAAATATTCAAATAACCAATGGAGGCTCCAAGGATATAGACAGAATTGGAATTGGCATTTTATAATGTGAATTAGTCAGTGAAGAAAGTGGCAATACTATAAATGATGTTCCTGATTTGCATTGCAACATGCTAAGTGCTCCAGAGATGACAAAGGTTTTTCCTTACATAATGAAAATAGAAAGTGCATAGCAAAATAATGATGTATGTTTTCAAGATCCTCTATTTGTGTCCATAGGCTGAGTCTTTTGGCCCATACAAGACAGCAACAGCTTGGATCTTTGGCATTGTCACTTTGCACAGAGAAATCAAAGGCAATCCTCGAGCTACAGAACCATAACCTTGCTAGAAGTATCAAAGTAAATCCACATGATGAAAATAGAAAAACCAAGCGCAGAAACTATGTCACAGAAAACCTTGTTCCCACTAAGGAATGAGAGGTGAAGCTCCAAGGTGTTAGATCTAGTACACAGTGATCTGTATGGGCCACTTAAGAGTCACCTGTCTACCGAAGGAGAAGAGTGAGACATGTAAGATGCTGAAGAGGTACATGGCTATGGTTAAGCAACAAGCCAGAAAACAAACTCAAGGCACTTCAGACAGACCAAAGGGCTGAGAATACCTCTTGTACCACATACACAAGCCTTCCTGGAGGATGGAGGCATTTTGCACAGGAGGAACGTCACACATACTCCTGAGCAGAATGGAACAGCTGCAAGGAAGCTAAGATATCTTTTGGAAGATGCATGCTTGAAGATGCAGATTTGCCCAACGGACTCTGGGGTGATGCAGTCATGACTCCAATTTATCTCCAAAAGGGATTGCCAACCAAAGGCCCCACAAAAACACCAATTGAATTAAGGCATGAGTGCCAAGTGTGGAACACACCAGAGTTTTTGGGAGCCTGGCACATATGTACATACCAAAACAGAAAATACACAAACTGGACTCTTGAACAGAACAGAATTTGATGGGCTATGTTCCTGGCAGCAAAGGCTAAAAATCATGAACATGAAAACAGGTGAGGCCAGCATAAGACATGTGATTCACTTTGATGAACAAAGCAAAGCTGATAAAAGAAGGGCTGTGACAGATAACTCAGAAGGGCAAGATCAATATGTTGAGTCCCTCCTAAATATGGCAGCAACAATGTCTTCACAACCTCTCAGACAAAAAGCAGGAAGAGAATGACAAACACCATGAGAACAGTGCACTAAGAGAAAGAGTCAGAGATAGAGGTGTCAAAGCTTTTGAACTGGAAGAGGCACCGATGCCACAACAAATTCCAGAGCCAGCCGCTCATCACAACTCAACAGAAGTGTGCCAGCTCTCTGCCTGACCTACCTTGCTTGACCTACCTCACTGATGAATTAGCCAGTGACATGGGAGGAAACTGAACAGATGCCAGCAGCTGAAGCCGCCAGATGGAGAGAAGCTGCAAAAGAGGAGACATAAGCGCTGCACAAGAATGAGATATGGACCTTGTCCAGGCAAGAAAGCCATTGGATGCAAGTGGCTCTTCGAAGTGAAGCACTGCAAGGCAAGATCTAACACTACAAGGCAAAACTAGTGGCCAAACAATTTCTGCAGAAGTATGGAGAATACTTTGGTAAAACCTTTGCTCTTGCTGTCTTGTTGCCTATCCTCTCCTCTTTCTCTGGCCATCCTCTAAGAAGCAGGCGTAGTACTCTCTCCATGTCTGGAGACTCCATTTTACCCTTTTCCCTCCTTCTGACTGTATCTAGATATGAAACTGTAAAGATACTTTTTTCTATTTTAAAATGCTTTTAAAGTGCCTGTTACTTCACAGAGAAGTAGCTTTGTGTGTGTCTTTTAGTCTGCTAAATAAAGGAATGCTGTAACCAAATTCATAGAAACCTTGTTAACAAAAAATCCTCAACAAATGGTCTGACACAGTATAAGGCAGCCTATGTCCTGTGTACACCATTGTAAGTACTATAGATTCCTATCTAACATATCATCACTGATGTGTGTGGGGAGCGGTACAACAGGGTTTCAGCCAATTTATGCTACACCTTAGCTCAGTGATGGCAAACCTACGGCACGCGTGCCACAGCTGGCACACAGAGCTCTCTCTGTGGGCACGCGAGCCATAAGTCACCATCGAGAAATACTTAGTCATCCTCCGATCCTGGATTTTAGGACACCCCTCTGCTGGTGCAATGGTCCAGTGGACAGTTGCAATGGTGACCATTACCGGTCTAGCCCAATGGGGATTGGAGGACCAGTAAGTATTTCTTTGTTAATACTGCCCATAGGGGGAAAAACACAAGCATTTAACCCTTGCAGTGCAGGAGCAGTTGCTTTTTCTAAACTAAAATCTCAGTATTTGGGTTTTAATTGCAGTGTTGGCACTTTGAAATAAATAAGTTGATTTTGAGTTGCAGTTTGGGCTAAAAAAGGCTCACCACCACTGCTCAACTATTTGTGCTATCTGTTGTTTAACAAAATGTAATTTAAAAAATGTGTCTGCACATGTGTGTGTGAGTGTTTGTGCATTGGGAAAGAAGCCTTACCCGTGAATCTAAATTGTAAGCTGTCTTCTTTAAATCTTGTAACGCCCTCTGCATGAATTCAAATGCATGGCAATCAACACATGGGCGACCTAGAAGTGGTTTTTAGTAGAAAGATTGAAAAAAACCTATGAAATAGGAATGAGAATGAATACAATTCCTTTGCTTGAATACAACAGAAACAAAAATATGCCCAGACATCCACAAGCTCAAAATAGGACAGGCTTAAGGATACCATGAATCTCTGGTAGTTTTTTTTTTTCAGAATCATTACAATTTGCACTGTCAGTTTTGAGACCCAGCAAAAATAAATAAATAAAAACAAAGCAAAATAAAATAAATGTCAAGATCAAAACTAACCATGCAAATTTAATACATTTCAGGGAAGATATCCATCTTACCTCAAAAACATAATTTTTCAAAATTTTTAATTGAACAGGAGGACAGTGGTCCAGAAGACAGTAACAAAGCATAAAAGAGGCAAAACTAGAGAAGCAGTGTCAAAAAGAACAAACGCTGTACAGTGGCCTTATGCAGAACAGCGAAACATCGTAAGAATAAAAAAAAAAGTCATCTGATTATACTGTAACTACAGAATATAGTGAGGCCATATTCAATTCTCAGTAAAATGTTTGTGAATTATTGGAAAGAGATTGACAAAGAAAATGATGTAGAGCAGAGGTTCCCAACCTTGAGTAACCTAGGTGTTCTTGGACTGCAACTCCCAGAAGCCTTCACCACCAGCTGCGGTGAGTTGCAGTCCAAAAACACCTGGGTTACTCAAGGTTGGGAACCACTGATGTGCTCTTCTCTCTTTTAGACACTGTGATGGCTCCAGGTGTCCTGGTATATTTACTGGTCTGAACTCCTCTCAGATTAATTATCTTTTCTCTCATTTCTGCCAGAGTATCTCTGTGACACAGTATCATAATGGGACTTTTGTGTTGCATGCTCATCCAAGGCCAATGCATTGGATCTTGTGCGCACAGAAAAGTCCAATTCTAAACAGATATAGGTTCTGTAAAAATACTCAGAAGATGTAAAAAGTGGCAGCCTTACTGAGTCCCTTGGTGATTTGGCACCTTGAGTTCAGCTGAACTCTTCAAAGTAGCTTGACTACAAGTCTCTTTGCTCTGTGGTGAGCATCAGGATCCCGATATCAGGTACTCCACATCATGTGCAACCTTCTCTGAGGCTGCTGTGTGTTAGAGTGGCTGGTTTTAAATCTCTTTGGAAAACCACTGTAAGTGGCTCACCCAAATCATGACCTTTTATGAGAAGAACCAGTAGATAAAAGCTCCTTCTGCAGAGAATAGAGCACTCCTAAAGTGTACAGAATGTGCGGTTAGATGTAATAACCTGTCTTCCTCTTGGTATATTGCCAAAATTTATAGAACTCTCCCCCCTCTGTTTAAGGGCCAGATTACATAATAATAACAAACAACAGGAACTCTGTTTTTTAAGGAACTGCTCTTAAGTGGCATGTGTCATTTCACATTGCCAGGAAGACACTGTCTCCTCAAGGTGAAATAAGGCTAGAGAGTTAGGGAAGGAGAGCTGTTTGCAGGCACAAAATGGAGAAAATCTGGAAAAACTGTAACATGTCAAATCACCACCAGCATTAAAGTAATTCTGAAAATGAATAGTACAGAGAAAGCAGCTCTGTGCCTAAGCATTCATAGTAGTCTCTTGCTGCATTGTATTCAAGGCCATTTCACACATTACGTTCTTAACATTAATTTTATTCATTTTTACCCTCTCAAAATAAGGCAATTAAACTTATGGAAGTTTAAAACAACAGACATACTGCTATTTACAAGGAGAGGGAATGTCTTATAGTATGAAAATTTAAATTGAAAGAATCCAGATTAAATTCAAAGCAAAATTAAAACAGGCATGGAAGCTTGGAGTGAGTTATCCTGTGTTTGTGGAGAAAGGGGAGACCAAAGGAGCCACTCTTCCCTTTTGTCTCAAACTGAGTGACACATCTCATGTGATGGGCCCTTAGATGTCTTAAATGCATGCACACAAGTATATATACATACACGTTTGATGAATATGACCCACACATTTGTGTCTGAAGTAGACTGGTACACATAAGGGAACTAAAATGTGCTACATTTTATGTACATTCAGGAGCAAACTAAGATTGACCTTTGATGTGTTGGTTTGAGAAGGGAGATCAAATTCAGTACATACTTTCTGCAGGGATTGTTGTTCCCGATTCCTCTTCAGCAGTAGCTGGCTTTGCAGAAATAAACCAGACTATAAGAATTAAAGGCACCAACGTGACTGCTCTGCTAATGCAAGCCTTCAGCATCTTGGTATGGAGACTTTATCTTTTCACTGTTGCAGGGAGCAAAAAGAATTCAGGGAGAAACAGTATGGACAACTGTAATATTTGTACGAGTATTTGGATGAGTAATGTTAAGCAATCTGGCTGGGTAAAAATGCTTATTTTAAAACCTACAATATAGTTATGGTAGCATCAGCTGCACATCAGAATTTTTGTATTTTACTTAACTCTTGTCTCCAGCCAGGGGCTGCTTGTGGATCAGGATGGAAAGTACATCACCCTAAAATTTCAGGAGAATGATATGCTGTCTGAGTCATAAGCCAACCTTATTTCCAGCCACATCCTGGAAACTACTAGAACTACTAGAGATGGAACTGCACTTGTCTGGAAGATAGGAATACTGCAGACTTAAATCCAACAGGTTATTTAGCAAGTTGATAACCATTTTATAAGACCTTATTAATCTGTTAATAGTTGCATAGATGCACTGTGAGACAGGGGCTAAGTCTCAAGCTTCATCTATGCAACTGAGGAGCTTATTTGTTAGAGGTGGCCAAATTACTGCTTGATAAGCTGTGGATCTCATTGCCATACTAGCTTTACTGTGCATTTTCCTCCTTTCAGTAATACATTTCACTTCAGCAGCAGAAGCAGTATCACACAGTTTAAAATTGGGTTCAGCACTGTACAAAGTTATTTCTAGATACATAAACAGATGAGACTTAAAGACATATTCTTGACTGCAGATCACCCTAACTTTTTCCAGTTAGCAGTTTGCATTACCTCCATGAAAATCTGTATATCTGATGTTTGCTTTTACCTTTTTAGCTTGGGAAAAATACACAATAAAGAGATACCAATATGTTTCCTCATAGCACTATGGATGCCATAATATCTGAGGCTGGTGAACAATTATAAGCTGCAGATGTAGAACATAATCAGGTGCAACCAAGTGACACAGATATGAAGTGTGATCATTTATTTAAGGCGTTATAATAATTGCAAGCTTTCAAAGATTATGAGAGTGTTCTTTGGTCAACAGATGTTTTACAGCTGCTGTAATCTTGAGTAGGAATATGGAGTGTGTGGCTATGTCATATCACAGTTATAAGTCATGAAGCATAGCTCTGGTAGGACATACCATTTATAAATGGCAAACCAAAGACATTATGTAAGAATGCTGATTTAATCACCACAGAGGACTAGATTCAAGTATGCCTATTTCATATTTAGAAAACCAGTAAAAATGATGCAGTTAAACAACTGTATAGGCATCATTTCAGTATCTGGCACCTAACACTGAAAGTACCTATTTTGTACATGGCTGCGTTTCAATGGTAGAGATGGCATTTTCCAAAAGCACAGAATAAAGACACTCATTTTGCAGGTCCGGAATAAATGGCTTAATACAAACATTGCATTAATTTATTTCACATAATCCCTATCTTAAAACCAGTATACTGCCTGAGGAAATCTGAGTCTGTTTGCAAGCCATCAGAAATGTGTTGATATGCTACATTTTATTCCTCACTATAAGCCTCTAAAAAGCAGAACCTTTTCCGCAGTTTATGTTAGCACTGACTACTGCCTAGAAGTGACTTCAGCTTCATGGAAGTCTTTGTTGTATAGCACAAGGGGAACACCTTCCTCATTGCTCCAGTAAGGCAAATGTCCTCTACATTTTCTCAAAGAAGCTTGTACTTAATTCATCCAAGCACCAGGCAAGCTTATCACAATGATCTTAAAGAAGGAAGCATACCTATAGAAAATCACCTGTTTCAGATCGTGCACTTTATTTGTTGCACAGCAAGTAATATGCATCTGTGCAGCATAACTCAAAGGCAACTGATGGATGGCTGTTGATAAATTAGTACATAGTCTCTTTTCATTTCTATAAAATGGGAAAATCATTCCAACATATCAACAAATTTTAAAATAAAAATACCTGATCTCTCACTTGCCTTTGTGGTGGTCTCTTTGAATGGCTGCTGCAAACTGCTAGTAAAACATGTAGGGCTGTATCTCTGAGCATGTGCATTGCCTGTCGTTTTCCTTCCCTGAGAGACTCTGCCATGGCAACAATGCAGAGTGCTCCTCTAAAGAGAAGGCAAACGGACAATGGTTGTTTTCCCCGTCTTGCTATGGATGCTACTACTTTAAAAAAAGGAATCCATGTCAGGCTGAAATCTGTATCAAGATTTGTACTAGCCACAATACCATTTGCAATGCCACCCCCACCCCCCACATTGCAAACCCATGAGTAAGCTTTTGAGTTCTATTGATCTCCTTAGCAGGCAAGATGCTGAATATAACAAAAGACAAGGGAATAGGGAAATATTCTGAATTCTGCAGCTCGTAAAATGGAACATAGGAGGCATGAGGATTAGCACTGGTTGTGAAAAAAATTGTGTGATGCATCCAGGATTACTGGGACTGAAAACCCATGATAATTGTTCCTCTGTTTTAAAATATATAAACTGTAGCAGTTGTTCAAATTTGTCTCCAGCTATGACTGGAACATACATGTTTAGATGACAGCTTCTCCAGATCTTATCTATGTTTCTTTGTTTACCATTATTATTTTGTTCCAGCAACATAAATGTCTATTAACCTCCCAAAACTAATATCTAAAATATTTTGCATAGAATTACAATCCCAATTAAACATGGAATATTAAAAGAGCAGACATTTGTGAAAGAAAATTTTTAAAAAGAGAACCCTGTGAATTCCATGTAGCTCCACTATGGCTGTCTAATATAATGTCTTCAATATAGAGACAGAAGTGTGTATATATAAATATATTTGAAGAAAAGTTCATGTGAAAAATCAGTTTGGGAGATATAGTCTTGTCAGCATTTTCTTCAGAATCCTCATGATAAAAGCACTAAAAATCATAATGAACCATAAAATCATTGAATTGGAGGAGTCCTATAATGCCATTGAGTCCAACCCCCTGATCAATGCAGGAATTCAAATCAAAGCAGATCTGACAGATGGTTCTGTAATTTTTTCTTGAATGCCCCTAGTGTTTACCACCTCCTCAGGCAATTGATTCCATTGTTGTACTGCTCTAACAGTTAAGAAGTTTTTCCTGATATTCAGCCTAAATCTGGCTTCCTCTAGCTTGAGCCCATTATTACATGTCCTGCCCTCTAGGATGATCAAGAACAGATCCTTCCCCTCCTCTGTATGACTACCTTTCAAATATTTGAAAATTGCTCTCATATCTCCCCTCAGTCTTCTTTTCTCAAGGCTAAACTTGCTCAGTTCTTTCATTCTTATCTTAAACGGCTTTTCATTGTCCCCATCATCCTTGTCCTCTTCTGAACTTGATCGTTTGTTGCCATTGTTCTTAATAGTGGTGTCCAGAACTGCACACAGTACTCAAGATGAGGCCTAACTGATGCCAAATAGAGGGAGACTAGTACCTCACAAGATTTGAAAACTATACACTACTTTTGTTCTAAAACAGCATTTGCTTTTCGTTGCAGCCACATCACACTGTTGGCTCATATTCAGCTTGTATCTACAAGAATTCCGAAACCCTTCTCACTTGTAACATTGTCAAGTCAAGTATCCCCAGTCTTGTAATTGTGCATTTGGTCCCCCCCCCCAGATGTAGAACTTTGCACTTATCCCAGTTAAATTTCATTACATTTTTTCAGCCCAATTCTCAAGTCTATCAAGATTTTCTGAATTCTTTTTAAATCTCCCAAGGTATTAGCAATTCTACCTAGTTTTGTGCCATCTGCAAATTTGATAAGTATTCCTTGCACTCCCTTATCCAAGTCATTAATAAAAATTTTGAAGAGTACATGGCCCAGGACGTGTTACTTCCTCCCAGTTTGAGAAGGAGGCACTGATAAGAATTCTCCGAGTACGATTCTGACTTAACTTGCAAATCAGAATATCATGGGGCACTTTGTCAAAGGCTTTACTGAAGTCAAAATATATTATGCCTATAGCATCCCCACCATCTACCAGGGATATTACCTGATCAAAACATGAGATAAGATTAGTTTGGCAGGATTTGTTTTTGGCAAATCCATGTTGGCTTCTAATTATTACTGCATTGTTTTCAAGGTGCTTGTAGAGTAACCGTTTTATAATCTTCAGAATTTTCCCTAGGATTGATGACAGGGTGACTAGTCTGTAGTTCCTTGATTCCTCCTTTCCCCTCCTTTTAAAAGATAGGGACAAAGGTAGCCTTTCTCCAATCACCCAGCACATTTCATATCCTCCATGATATCAAGAAAATAATAGACAATGGTTCTGTGATCTCTTCAGTCAATTTATTCAACATCTCTGGATGCAGTTAATGCAGCCCTAGGGATTTCCACTGATTTACAGTAGTAAGATATTCTTTGATTATTTGTTTATCAGTCTCCAGCTGCAATCTTGTAACCTCCATTTGTACTTCACACTCGCCTACAGGAGCATAGACTGTCTTTTGGGAAAGACAAAAGACCCTTTTTGGGAAAAGAACATTTTGGGAGAAGAAAGCTGAAGTACGAATTGAGAAAGAAAAAACAGAAGTGCTCATCTGTTATAATTTTCCCATCCCCATTGAGTAGTTGAGCTGCCGTTTCTTTTCTCTATCATTTGCTACACATATACATGAAGAATGCTTTTTTTTTTGCTGCTTTTAGCATCTCTTGCTAATTTCATCTCATTCTCAACTTTTGCCTTCCTAATGCCATCCCTGCAGTTCTTTGCTACTTACCTGTACTCTTCCTTTGTAGCCTGGCCTCTCTTCCAATTCCTATAAAAAAGGTAAAGGTTCCCCTTGACAATTTTTGTCCAGTCGTGTTCGACTCTAGGGGGCGGTGCTCATCCCCGTTTCCAAGCCATAGAGCCAGCATTTTGTCCGAAGACAATCTTCCGTGGTCACATGGCCAGTGCGACTTAGACACAGAACACTGTTACCTTCCCACCGAGGAGGTCCCTATTAATCTACTCGCTTTTGCATGCTTTCGAACCGCTAGGTTGGGGGGAGCTGGGATGAGCGACGGGCGCTCACTCTGTCGCATGGATTCGATCTTACGACTGCTTGGTCTTCTGACCCTGGAGCACAGGCTTCTGCGGTTTAGCCCACAGCGCCACCACGTCCCCAATTCCTATATGTGTCCTTTTTTGTTTGGATTTTGGACTGTTTGTGAAGTAGTCAGTGTAACCTATTTTCTGGTAATCATATGATGCATAGAGAATTACACTGCAGACCAACGATGATCTGTGCCCACGATGGACCGTTTTGGTCCAGCGGTAGGACTACTACTTTTTGAGGATGGGTTAGAGCAGGGGTGTCCAACCTTTCACCTTCCCTGGGCCACATTAGAAGATGAAAATTTGGTTTGGGCCGCACATACATTTGGTTTGGGCTGCATGGGGGGGGCAGCCCTAGCCGTCCTCCGCAGCTCCGCTCCAAGCGTGCTTACCGGCAGCTGCGATCTCAGACAGCAGAGGCTGCCAGCTTCGACTCCGGCGGGAGGGGGTCCACCTATTGATGGGGATGGCGCAATACAATCATGCAGCCCCCCCGTCGCCTCCCCTCCCACTTCTTCCTTCCTTCCCTCTCTCCCCCTCTACTGTTGTGACGTGCCCTGGCCCCATTCCGGCTGCAAGCGCCGGCAGTGTAACTTGAAACTTTTGAATTTCTTTAAAAATAAAAAATTGCACTGGGCTGCATTACGAGCTGACCTGGACCGCATGCGGCCCTCGGGCCGCATGTTGGACAAGCCTGGGTTAGAGTGATTTCCCAAGACAGAAGGGATACTTTATGGAAGATTACTCCCTACAAAGTAACACTTTCCAGTATGATCAGATGTATGCCTTCCCACCTATTGATAACATCCTAAACTACTTCAGTAGGAATTAATTCTTTCTGGACCATTGTTCAACAGTAGGATTTCTGCAATAAGAGAAAAAAGTCTTACTTGCACCAGCATAGGTTGTTTTCACACTTTGTAGCAAACCTTACAGTATATCTATGTAGCGAACAGCCTTTCCCTCACCTGTCCGTCACAGCAGAACAATGGAGAAGGAGCCAATGAGCGGACAGAAGGCGGAGCCAAGGGGGGAGGGGCTGGATATAAAGGCTGGTGTATGGAGTCTGAGAGTTTTTCTGGTAGAGAGAGACTGTGTGAAACTTAAAAGAGAACTAAGAGGGAGTTAGAGATCTGTATGAACGTAGATTGGAACAGAAAGTTATGTAGTTGCAACTGATTACATTCAAATATAAGTGACTGACAGACTGTGATTGATCTAATGAATATTCATCACCTAATAACTTCCCTGTCCAAATAAAAGCTTTAAGTTTGTAACAGCACACAAGTCTCCACACTTAATTGATATTAAAGCAGTAATATCTGGTGGCAGCGAAGAAGGGCGAGAACCTCGTGAAGGCCTGGGGGGATAGGGGCTTCAGAGGGGATCGGCACAGAAGTAGTGGCAGCGGCGGGATCCGATTTAATCCAGTAACGCCTAAGAACAGAAAGGTTCCCAGAGCAGAAAAATATATTTTAGTCAGGCGATCTGAAGCAAACGGAATGGGGGAAAAGCTTAGTGAGGAGGCTCCTAAGCGCAGATCAGGGGGCTAAGATAGGGACTTTGGAGGGGATCGCCACAATCTACATATTTTACTGTGTTAAAAAATTAGTCTCTGTACTCTTAATATTATGTCTGAAGAAGTGGATTTGTTCCAGAAAAGCTCACATTAAATATAGCAGTTGGTCTTTAAGGTACCATAGCCTCTTTATCTTCCTTATATTTTTACTTTTGTTTCTTGTTTATTTATTTATTTTATTAGCTTTATATCCCACCCATCTAGACCAAAGGTCTACTCTGGGTGGCAAATTTATGATTGCACAGTGCTTGAGGTGTATTTGGTGGGAGTGGTGGGGAGTCACAAGGATTTTCTCCCAAAACAAAGATTGATTGGCCAGTAACATGAAAAGCATGCAAGCATTCAAGTTAGCAAGAGCCACAGTAAGTCAGCAGTGGGCTGTGCTAGTATTCTTCTCTTTGGGCTATGTAAAGATCTACACTTAACTAATGTGGTTTTTGTGCAGTTATAAAATGTGTTGGTGCTTACTGTGACAACCCCTTCATCCTCATAAACCAATAAGATTTTCTTTTTAAAATTGCTGCTGGAATGGTGCATATCAACAAACTGAGGAGTCAGTCTTTTATACATGTAATGGCTCTTAATAGCCCATTTGAAATGGAATCACTCTCAAATACATTGCGTTGCAAGGATTAACCTGCAAAAGTATACTGTTCTTTGGAAAAATCCATTGCTTTCTTAGCTTGATAGACATTAAGAGAAGTTCTGCTTTCTTCATTTTCTCTCTTCCATGTTATGATTTATTGCAACAAGCAAAGCCCTTCTGCCATGACTAGTTCAGTCCAGCTGTCAGCAATAGTCTGGGCTTCCTGCACAATGGACAGGTATTTAGGGGAGAGGCAATGCAATTTTGTTCCAGCTTCATCTTACAGAGCATCTTTAGGGTCCTAGTTGTGTTCTGATTATACTGATTCTTCAAAAACCATCCATCAAAGATGGAAGCCAGTTTTCAACCATTATGCATGAGAAACCAAAGCCAGTATTTTATTTAAATTATGGACAGTACCTTTCAGCTAATTAGGGTGCAAGAGGAATGGATAATCTCCTCAGCACCTGCCTTCAATAAGCTAGGTCATCTAAGGTAAATACAGTTTTAAATGTTTAATATAGAGCATTGGAAGATAACTAAAAGCATGATAGGGTCAATTTATTTTTAAATTTGGAATTTTTGATTGTGTCAGAGTATGATTTGTTCAAAGTTAGAAGGTGCTTTGCGTCTTCCTATTTGAGAGAATCTTTTAAGTATTGAAATGTAAGTATTTGTATAATATGTAGTAATGATGCAATAAAAATATATGATGGCTATGAAAACACAGAAGTAAATTGCTGAACAAATAAAATGTTCAGATATTATTTTAAAGATATTAAGTGAATGTTGGTAGCATTGGTCTAAAAAAACCATTCAGCCTAATTATTTTCAAGCTCTGGTTCTTTACTATTAATCATTTTCTTGTTCTTCCACTTTAAATTAAAGTCTGTTTGGTTTACTTTGCTGCTTGAGATGATACACGTCTATGATTCACCAATTTATCAGCTTGCTTTCTGCGGTGGCTTCCTGTAGCAACACAACATGCATTCTAGTTTACTAGTTTAGGCCTGTTTATATGCTTGGTTGGTTTTTTGCATTTTCATTTTTTATAATAACTTTGCTATTTACATAAATATGTATTGATATTAATTAGGGCATCAATTAAAGAAAAACTGCCACATGAACTGGATTTACTTTTGCAATGGCAACAACACCTGAGGGTTCTGTATTGATCACACTTGGCAGACAACTACATTGGCCATTCACATTAGGCACAGATGAAACTGAATTAAAAACTAATATCAAACTGACACCCTTTGGGTTGTCAGGCTGCTTATGTCTGGTGTACTCGATTGTTGTCAGTTAACAGTTTTGTGCCATCAGACTGCCCCCATTTGCGGCTCATTAATTCGTACATTTTTATTTATTGGTTTATTGCAGCTAATTCTCATGGATATTCTCAAATGGCTTTCTTTAGATAGATTTCTTTGTAGTTTGCAGTTGTGGTTTTTATTATGATCTTTTTTTCAGGTCTGGGGGCATCTGGACAAATAAGTCAGTGCAGGATCAAAACAAATGAATCGATCCATTAATGTAGTACTGAGATATCTCAATAGGTATGTCTACGCAGGATTAAGGCAACTGAGCAGATATATACAGGATCAGAGCATCTGGATAGGTGAATCCATGCAGTCTAGAAGGAAAGTCCTATTCCCTGAGGTCATCTAAAGGTAATTCAATTTTTAAGTATTCATGATTTCTAGAATGTGCACAATTGAAAGAACCAAACTACACCCCCAAATGGGTAAGGCACTCCTAGAGTACCTTAACATTACTTTTTGAAGCCAGAAGTGAATTGTGAAAAAAACCATTTCTGCATCTTTATCTTTTGCTTGCCTATTCATAGCTTCAATATGCTGCTGTTTGGCACCATTTTTAGGGCTACCTTTTAACTCTGTGAACATGATGATATCCAGTAGTGCCACACAGTCAATTTAATTTGGTTTGTCCACCAGTGTCATTGAAAGCAAACCAAGCTCTCATGATGTCTAGATGACATTCCCCATGCCTTACTTCCTTACTTTTTACTGTAATATTAATTTCATGAGCTGTCACTGGAATGTGGTTGTATGCTACCAAGATTCTTGGAACATGAAGAAAGAAGCACCTTTTAAAACATAAAGGCTTAGCTTCCTTCCACTGAGGAGCTGAACTGATCACTGCAACAGTAAGCATATTCACATTTATTTTTTCATATGCCAGGAAAAGACATCTCAGTCCCATCTTTTTTGTGAGGAAAAGTATTTATTTCTCACTGCACTTGTCTATCCTACAGTACCCTCATTTAAGGGCAATTTCCTCTTTGCAATACAAATGTTATTGTGCTAGAAGTTCTTTGACACTTAAGAAAATTGCTGCATGCAAGTGCAGCAATAGACATTGTGCAACAGAGCAAATCAGCATTTCATAAGGCAACTCAAGAGATGGGGACATCCCAAACAAAAAAAATTTAATTTTGTAACTGGGATGTCTCACATTCATAAACCAGAGCTTTTAAAGAACTGAATTTAAACAATGTATATCTCACAGTATTAGGGCCATTCTTTCCAACTTGCTCAGCAGCAGGCAATACCTTACGTTACCTCCTGGGCAGACCCACTCAAAATTATATCCAAAGCTGTCTGTTTTGGTCAATTCTGTGAGCTGCTGTTAGAGAACAGAAACATTTAGAGTCGCTATACGTACATTGTGTTTCTCTTGTGACCAGGAAATACGTTTGGCTCGTCAACTTAACGGAAACTGGCTCATCCAATTCTACAACATACTCTGATATTTTTCTCCATCTTCCTGCGTGTTCTGCTTAGGATAATTACATGTCCCAGAAACAAATTACTTTCGGGTTCTAGTACTGTGACCGACAAGAGAGCCTGTGCAGTGCCCCCCTTTTAAGGTTTCCACTTTGTTTTGATCCCTTGATGCTCAGAGCACGACTCACTCTCTCCCTTCTCCTCCGGTTAGTCTCTCCAGCCCAACCCATAAACACAGCAGAGTAAGTGCAGGAGCCTGGCTTTGAGATCCGTAGAAGAGCAAACGGAAGGAAGCCACTACGATTCTTGCCGATACCGCCCCACGAAAGGCAACCCCCTTTTTGTACGGAAAGCGTACGCGCCATTTTGCGTCCCGGAAGCAACCTTTCCCACCTCAGAGGGCGCTGCCATTTTAGACTACGAACTCTGCTGCCTACTTCCTTCCCCTTAGAGCGCGTCAGAGCTTCGTCTGACCAACGGCAGCCCCATATTGTGTTACGGACGAAAAGGCGGCCCCCACAAGGGGCTGGGGCCTTGTTCCCCCCTCCTTTTTTTAGGTGTCTTCATAAAATGCCCGCCGAGAGTCCCTTTTTCTCCCCGCTCCGCTCCAAGATGGCGTCGATGCGGGAGAGCGACACTGGCCTGTGGCTGCATAATAAGCTGGGCTCGACGGACGAGCTGTGGGCGCCTCCGAGCATCGCCTCGCTGCTCACGGCTTCGGTTATTGACAACATCCGCCTGTGCTTTAACAGCCTCTCGTCGCCCGTGAAGCTCAAGCTCTTGCTGGGAATGTTGCACCTGCCCCGACGCGCTGTTGACGAGGTGAGTGAAGGAGGGAAGGAAAGATACGGGACCGCCCGACCCCCCTCCCTCCGCTCTTTTCCCCGTGCCCAGCCGGGCAAGACACCGAGAACACTCTGCTCGGATGGGCCGCTTGCCCCGCCCACCCAGCCGGTAAGTCCGTCAGTTAGTCAGTCAGCCCCTCAATCTCTCTCTCTCTCTCTCTGCCTTCAGTCGCTCTCGAGCGTCTTTCTCGCGCTCGCCTCCTCGCGACTGCCCGCCCGCGCGCCCGCCCGCGGCTTCCTCTTCTAGTTCGCGGGCGGAGCGTCCCCCGCTTTCCCCCCTTCGAAACCAGCCTTTTGAGTGTAACGTCTCCTTGGGGGTGGTGGCGGCGGCGGCGGGCTTCAGCCGTGGGTCCCGGTCGTTATCTCTCAAAACGTTCGGTCCCTCAGGGTTCAAAGTTGAAACCTAAAAGACCAGACGTAGCCCGGAGCTCCCGGAGCCGTCTTTTTTCCAGCCTCCAGATATGCTAGTGTAACTCACTGGTGTGGGTCAGGAACGGCCACTGGGAACGCTGCCTTTAAGGGGCAAGGCAGAGCTCATTAATCCTCGGTCAGTGCCCCTGGGAATATAATGTGTTTAAGAACATGAGAAATATCTTGGTATCTGATGGAGAGCCAGTCTGTTGCCACATTCTTAAAAAGCTTCACATCTGCTCCGCGGTTTGTCCAAAACTCTGGTCAACTTTCGTCGTCGTCGTTTAGTCGTGTCCGACTCTTCGTGACCCCATGGACCAGAGCACGCCAGGCCCTCCTATCTTCCACCGCCTCCCAGAATTGTGTCAAATTCATGTTGGTTGCTTCACAGACACTGTCCAGCCATCTCATCCTCGGTCGTCCCCTTCTCCTCTTGCCATCACACTTTCCCAACATCAGGGTCTTTTCCAGGGAGTCTTTTCTTCTCATTAGATGGCCAAAGTACTGGAGCCTCAGCTTCAGGATCTGTCCTTCCAGTGAGCACTCAGGGTTGATTTCCTTTAGAATTGATAGGTTTGTTCTCCTTGCAGTCCAGGGGATTCTCAAGAGCCTCCTCCAGCACCACAATTCAAAGGCATCAATTCTTCGGCGGTCTGCTTTCTTTATGGTCCAGCTCTCACTTCCATACATCACAACAGGAAAAACCATAGCTTTGACTATTCGGACTTTTGTCGGCAAGGTGATGTCTCTGCTTTTCAAGATGCTGTCAAGATTTGTCATCCCTTTCCTCCCAAGAAGAAGGCGTCCCTCCATGTCTTCCCCTTCTATTTCCCAGGAGGTGATGGGGCCAGTGGCCATGATCTTAGTTTTTTTGATGTTGAGTTTCAGACCGTTTTTTGCACTCTCCTCTTTCACTCTCATTACAAGGTTCTTTAATTCCTCCTCACTTTCTGCCATCAGAGTGGTATCATCTGCATATCGGAGGTTGTTGATATTTCTTCCGGCAATCTTAATTCCGGTTTGGGATTCCTCCAGTCCAGCCTTCCGCATGATGTATTCTGCATATAAGTTGAATAAGCTGGGGGACAATATACAGCCTTGTCGTACTCCTTTCCCAATTTTGAACCAATCCGTTGTTCCATATCCAGTTCTAACTGTTGCTTCCTGTCCCACATATAGGTTTCTCAGTAGAGAGATAAGGTGGTCAGGCACTCCCATTTCTTTAAGAACTTGCCATAGTTTGCTGTGGTCCACACAGTCAAAGGCTTTTGCATAGTCAATGAAGCAGAAGTAGATATTTTCCTGGAACTCTCTGGCTTTCTCCATAATCCAGCGCAAGTTAGCAATTTGGTCTCGAGTTCCTCTGCCTCTTCGGAATCCAGCTTGTACTTCTGGGAGTTCTCGGTCCACATACTGCTGAAGCCTACCTTGGAGGATTTTGAGCATAACCTTGCTAGCGTGTGATATGAGTGCAATTGTGCGGTAGTTAGAGCATTCTTTGGCACTGCCTTTCTTTGGGATTGGGATGTAGACTGATCTTTTCCAATCATCTGGCCACTGTTGGGTTTTCCAAACCCAACAGTGGTCTACTTTGGGCTATAGTTATTCATTGTGTACTTTTATACTGTGTGAATCCACCTCTCAGGACCTCCCGTTATTGTAAGCAAGGTTTTCTTTTCCTTGTCTGACTTCTTGGTTTATGGGAGAGCATCCTGTGCACCGTTTGTAGATGCATTACAGTTGTGTGGTAAATGTTTACTAGGATTCTGCATCTTCTGACCATACTACAGTACTATAGACATGGTTTAATATGTTTTAAAGCTGCTCTATGGGAAAGTTCCATATACCCAAGATATACCATGCAAATGAGGAATCGGACTAGAAAAACGTCTTCTAGAGGGGTTTTCTTCACAGTGTGGAATAGCATTCAAACATATTGAGTGACACCAACAGAAGCATCTTCATGTGTTAAATTGTATGTAGAAATGTAGCCCCACAATCGATTGTTTCTCCTTCCATTGGCAGCCTTTGTTACCCCTTCTCTAATTTCCCAGTGGTAACCTATGGTCTGAATGGGAGTCTCACCTTAAAATAGCTGATCCCAACAAGCTACCTATGCCTTTCACATTAGCTAGAGTAGGCAGATGAATAAAGTTGCCGTGGGCACGGGTCCAAAGACACGTGGTGCCATAACTTGGTGAAGCAGTCACATGCATGAAAGATTATCTGGGAAAACCAGTGTATGGATTCAAGCTCTGTGGTAGAAAAACATAATATATATGTTCTCAGCAATTCAACCCACATTTATGTATTCCTCTTCTGTCTCTGTATTTCAGTCTCTCTGCTTATAATACAGAGGGAATGAAAGATACATATTTGAACTGTGTTGATATTCAAGTTTTGTCACAGCAAATATAATGTGGATGACTACTGACTTGGCACTAGTACATGTGAAAAGATCAAAGACCACAAAACTAGAGTCAACACTGAAGAAAAAGAGGCAGTATACTAGTCCTTGTACAAAATTCAGAGGTGAGGTGGGTAATAACTATTATCACAAAATCACATAAATTAGCTTTAACCCCAAATTAATCTTTATCAGACTGGGAACCATGGAGTTGGGAGTGGTACAGAAGAAACACAGTAAACACAATCATGGCTGAATATGTAAGTCAGAATTTTCTGTTTAAAGCAACTTTCAAAATGGGGCCTGGAGAATCTGATCAGAGACATGTGTCCTGCAGTTTTGTTCTGGGAACCATATGTTTCCAGTATAAGGCCATGGCGGGATTTGTTGAATGACTGACAACTAGACATGGGAGCTTCATATTTGTATTGTGGGAGATACGAACATGAAGCTCGGCACCACAGGTGCCACTGTGGTCCATTCATGCTCCCAAAACCAGCCTGGTCCACTCACCAGGTTCCTCACAGTGCATGCGTCAGACAGCGTACATGACATCACACCAGTCATGGACATAGTTGAGCCAATGCTGCCCCAGCTCTCCCTACAGCTGACTGCTCTGGTGAGGAGGCAAGAAGATGTAGATGTACGCATTCTTCTTGGTCTTTGCTTTTGTTTCTTTCTGCACTTACATTTGGAATGTCTCAGTTTGACTGATTTGTTTATCATATGATTCTTTATATGGATTTTAGCCCTTAACACATTACACAAGGCATTACACAAATAAAATAAAATATAACACAACTGATGGCAAGATTAATCCAGCATCTTGTGATATACCATATTTTTAAGAATAAAGACATTGCCTTGGCACTTTTTAGAGAAACAGCAGAACTACTGATCAGCAGATCTAGTGATGAGCTTAATGAGATTTTGTAACCAATAATTCCTGTAATAATTTTAAAAGCTCACTTCCCAGTGGTTTGTCTTGATTTATATTATTTTGATTGCGATATATCCTGAGCAAGGATGTCTCCTGCAAGAACCATTGAAATACTGATTAAGAACTTTATATGATCTTTGGTCATATTTAACATTTTTTGCACTGCAGTAATATTTGCTTAGAGATATGAAGCAGGCATGTTTCTGACAGGTGCTAAACTTGGTTTCAGCAGTTAAGATTGTGTTCTGTACAGTATATGCTTTGATCAGTAACACTATCTGAGTAGATAGATATAGGAGCTCTGTAGTTGCAAAGAGAGACATGGTCAGTCTTGCAGCTTTGTTATATGTGAAATAAATTGCTATTGGTGCATTTACATCTCTAGTAAAGCAGAGCTTCAAATTAGCTACTTAGAAATAACTAGTTACTTGCAGTGAATTCTCTCTTTTTTTCCAACAGTGAAGGTATAACTAAGTTATGTTATGGTTATAACTTACTGAAGGATAAATTCACTCGCTTTGAAGTATAACTAACTTTTTAGTTATGTGTGCAGTTACAGAGGTGTGGATTCACTTAGTGTCAGAAAAAGAATATTATATGATTGAATTACCGCATCATGGGTGTGCTTAATGTTCCGTGGTGGGTGTTGAGAGGAAGATGAGGTGGACAAGAGGATAGGGTATTTTGTCACACAGGTTAGTAAGTACTACTATAGTAGCATTCAGAAACTGTGCTGCTATTCCACCTCCCCTCCTCAACCGGTGTTCTATAAGTAAAAAAGGTCTTCTCAGGCTTCCTTATCACAATGCCAAAAAAGTCTCTGCTAAGTGATGTCTTTGGCGTCTCAAAAAAAGTAATACTGCTCTTCCTGCTGCCCCACACTACCATTGCCGGATACCATGAAGCATCTGTGCCATTATTATACCAAGTGGAGGATGAATAACATCACCGATGCATATGCACTTTGCATAATGTTTGTTGATTGTACCTTCAAGTTCTGCTGCCCTTCATGTAGGACTTTATAGCCAACATCTCCATCTCCTGTTGTGTGGGGGGAAATCTCATTGTTGGAAAAGGATTCCATCAAGGAAGTACTCAACACACAGGCTATGGTTCGCATTACTTCACTGTCCCCCAAAAATATGGGGGTGCTTTGATTTATGTTAGACCTCAAGGTGTCAAGAGATATATCAAGTCAAAGAGTTCCAAGTGATGACCTTGACATTCTCTTCAGAAATTCATTTTGTATGTATCAGCTTAGTTCTTTAATCTGTTAAGATTATTTTGCATCATGATTCTGTCTTCTGATGTATTGGGTACAGCTCCAAGTTTGGTGTCATTTTCAAATTTA